TAAAAACAAAACTACAGTATGCGCATAAAGCAGTAAATGAGATATTAATAAAAGAAAAATTATCTCAAAAAATTAAACAAGATGCTAATGCATCAGAAAATTTATTTAATGTAGGAGATTTAGTTTATTTAAGAGTAGAAAATAGAAGGAAACATGAGAATCCATATCATGGTCCATATAAGATAGTTGATAGAAATGGTGTAAATTCCACTATAGAAATTAATGATAAAATAAAGATAGTTCATAATAATAGATTAAAGAAAAATTTACAAACAATATAAATACTATAAGAAAATAAAAATTATTTTTATTACATTTATTTGTAAAATTATTTTTAAGAAATAAAAATTGTCAATGTCAAGTTTTCAAAATTCAAATTATCATAAAAAAAATTTTCTTTATTGTATAAATAAAATTTTTTTTTAAAAGGGTAGAGGTGTTGTGTATAACGCAACAATGTAAATGTAAACAAAAACAAATAATAAATTATGTCATGTATTTTTGAAAGTGCTTATGCACAAATTATTTTATATTAACTAATGTAATGCGATCGCACACGGAAGAACCACCGCAATGCAAATAGAATATTTGGTCATAGCAAGTATGCAATTGCTATTTGACACTTTTCTTTTCTGTGCTACTATTCTGCACTTGTCGATATGACACACTTGAATGTGTCATAATATTTTCTAAGCATTGACGTGGGTCAACCTTTTTAGTGCCGCCGCAATTAAAATTATCAGGAAAATATTTGTAAATCATTGTAAAACATTTTTGTATAAATAGATTGGAAAATTGTTAATAAAATTCAGATTTTAAACTGAGCTCGAACAGCTTAAACAAAAGTCTCAAAACTTATTTTTGTCTCGGCATTCTTGGATGCCTAATAATGAGCAGATTTCTTCCTGCTAATCCTAATGAGAAGAAACTAATAAATTCGAAAATAAAAATCTTATAAAGATAAAAACAAAAATAAAATAAAAATAAAAATAATATATTTTGTATATGAAAACAAAATTTATTATTACATTATTTTGATTGCTTTTATAAATTAGACGGATTTATTAAAGACGGAAATGCAAAAAGTAAATATTGAGCGAAGTTTCCCACTACAGAGCTACGCTTAAAGAAATTCCAGAAATATTCCATATCACTCACTCTCGATATACAAACGATTCAAACATCCGGTGGTGAATGGACTACATTTGCCGAAAATATTTTTAAAATCTTTTTAACAGATGAAATGCATTTTTACGCCAATGACTTATAACATAGTAGTGCCAATCTCATCGTATATGAACATTTGTCTTTATTTATTATACAAAAAGTACACCACCTAATTAAAAATCAGTTAGAAAAAAATAAATCTGTAGAACTTAAATTAGTTACACAAAAGATTCTATATAAATAACTACAAATTTAACCCAAATAATATAAGCGTGTTTTAAGTTAAAATATACTCCCGCTTGGTGCAACGTAACCGAACTGAGTATGGTCGTTACTTAAATAGCCATAACAACTCAATATGGAGTTTCGACCAAAACTGGTTATAGTCCAGTTAATGCTAAAATAGAATATCTAATTTAAATACTTAAATCGGTTGTAAGGTTCTTATAGTTTTGAAAATTTGATTATAAACCATAGAAATAGGTATAGTTCATATCAAATAACCTGGTCCAATAATTAAACCAGAATTAATTCGAAACAACTTAACAAATCGCAGATTCAACATTACACTATACTTTAGGAAAATTCATTCTCCAATAGTTTTTTGAGTTAGATTGAGAGGTAAAAATTTTTTCATACAGACACCTTTTCGTGAAATAATAAATTGTGTGAGATCAAATCACAAAGTTCCATTTGAATACATCTTAACTGAATACTCCGGATATACAAAATAATAACTAATAGCATATGGAATATATACGCTTGAAAGTTTATTATTCGTATTTATTGAAGTAATATAACTTGTTTTTATAAAGGGTAGAAAAAATGCAATTTTAATCTAGAATTCGCAAATTTAAAATTAAAAAACAATCCACCATAGATAAAAACAGTTGGCTTTAGTCATTTGTGGAAGATAAACTTGCTATCTGCAAGATGATATATACAAGAAAACCCACATGCTGTTTATTTCATTAAACTTCAGATCCATAAACATTTCAGTGTGGTTTCTGATCTGGTGGTCTAATTGGACTTAATGTTTTGAAAATAAAAATGACATAGCAGCAATTGTAAAAAATGTGTGATAGGTTAAGGAGATGGTTCATTTAATAACAGACCTTTCATTTTTTCTTAACTTCTGCATTATAATAATAAACAATATTTATTTCTGATACAACAAATCTTTGCGTTACGTAATATTGGGATGACCTATTACCGTCAATGAAGAACAATACAAAATCCTGATTACTGATATATAGTTTCAAATAGATGGTGCAACATGATATATATAATTAATTTATTAGGAGCAATGCTCAAATTATATGGTTATTCTTTGATCAATCTTCGAAACTAGAACAAAATTCCACTAAATAGGATTCCAGAAAGAATTTCAAATTTATCACCACTAAATGATGCAGAAAATAATTATAACGTCAATTAGAAATATGAGATTCATATAAGAGCATAACAACTAGAAAAAATATTCCGACGAATCTTCTGTTTTTAACCATTTTTTTCTCAATATATATATATATATATATATATATAGTTCAATATAATATATAGTGTAACAAATATGGTATTTTATTTTAAGTGTCGGTAGAACCTTCTACAACAACTGTATCTGAGTTGAGAAAATAATAATGCAAAAATCTGATACTAAAGATAGTTACCATTGACAATCAAACTAAAAAGTAAAAGGCAAATACCCAAATACCCTTTTTGTAGAAATAATTAAATATTAATTTACTTAGATACTTAAAAAATATTAAAGGTTTAAAAAATATTGCAAAAATGTTTTAATCAATATATAAAATACGTATTTTATTTAATAACAAAAATAAATTTTATCTTAATTAATTTCTTTCCTACCTTATGAATTTGAAGAATTATTCACATTTTTTTGTTAAAAGAATTAATAGTTAAATCATATTAAAATCATTAAATAGAATTAAATTGTTTTAAAAAACTTACAATCATATATATAAAATATCGAATAAAAATATTAATAATTTTTTTTAATAAATTAATGGGTTACTTTATGTATTTATATTTGCAAATTCTGTTTAAGTTTAAATTACAAAAAATGTAAAATTGAGGATTGATGAATGACAATAATTATTCTTCTCAAAACTCATTCTTGTAAGATAATGATAAATTATTACTAAGTGCAGGAGTAGTTACATAAGAGTGTTTATAAAAAAAAGTTGTATATAATAAATTTTATATACTCTTCTGTATTTATTTGCAAGAAACTGCACATATTCTCTTTTTATAAAAACAAACTAATTATTTATCAATATATGTTACTAAAGTAGTTCCTAATACAAAAGTAAATACTACATTTTAATTAAAGTCTAATGCGATAATCAATATAGCATGAGTCAAGAGATTGATTAATACAAATGTCCTAATTATTTAAAATATACATTCTGAATATACCTATACGTTATTCAATACAAATTATATACGTTATTCGTTATATTAATAAAAAAGTATAAAGGTTTGACTCTTTTTAGGTTGCGATTAATAAAATGTTTGCATAAACTTGATATGTTCTATTAAAATAACTTAAGCTATATGTTTTATGAACAATACAAAAATATGTTTATTTATATGTACAATATATAATTCATAATATTAAATGGTTTTAAGTACATTTACGAATTGTGACTTTTTAACAAAATCTTTTATTACTTTAACTTTTCTTACACCAACTTTTAACAATTTTTTAAAAATTTTCTCATTCTGATTAAAAATCATTTGTCG